CCTCAACATGGTTGCTACGGCACTTTTTGTGCGGTCAATAAAGCTTCTCTCTCTCTTCTCTTCTCTCTCTCTCTTCTCTTCTCTCTCTCTTCTCTCTCTCCCCCTCTCTCTGCTACCTGTTCCTGCCCGTTCCGCAGACACGGCTGGTTGAATGACGGGACGGTGGCCCAACCCACACACTTCTCCCGCCGCGGATGTACGGACAGGGGCGTCACCCGCCTCAGCAGCCACCAGTGGAGCGAGAAGTTCGACGTCTGGTGCGTCGTGGACAGGAAGACTCGTGAGTCCTCGTTTCTTCTTCTATGTGTAACAACAAGACGGAACACGTTTTCAGACTTATGCAGGGTCAAAAGCGATTTTCAAAGCAAGGTTCACAAGGTGAAACAAAAGAAAATCATTTCCACCAATTTCATTTAGAAGACAATATAACAATAGACCAATGTCCAAGAAACGATCAAACCAACCAACAACCAGCAAAGGACAATAAATTGATGGATGATTTCCATCCATCAGTCCGGTTCCAACAAATGGCGCCTTTTTGATTGTACCTTTGGGTGAAAATGTCTTCTGCACATTCTTGAGATTACAGAGAGCCTGGAGCGAAGACTTTAATGACAGTATTTGTTAAGACCTGTCCAGAATAAGGGTTAACAGTCGGAATGACTGAGCATGAGCTAATTTGCCTTTGCTTTTTTTAGTGTTATCGGCTGGACATTTATGGGTGTATTTTGTAGCTTACGGAAATGTTTCCACTAGATAACTGTAAAATCTATACTTGTTTCGTTATCAGCACAAAAGTAAACAAATAAATAAACAAAACGACAACATTCACTGCATATAAAGGGCTTACTCACTGGCTGTAGTACTATGGATTGCTGAAAATTTAGAAGTTTATAGATTTTTGGAATATCGTGAAAAATCGTCGCAGATGGAGGGACCTTTATGTAAGATTTCCCCATTGTCCTGCGGAATGTGAGGTAGGAGGATAATGAGAGACCTGGCGCCTCCTGGGGAAGTATTACCTGTTCGGCAGGACATCACCATTATCCACTTCTGGTGCGCAGTAAATTAAGGCGTGACGCGAACCGGAACAGGTGGATATCAGAAGTGCTTAGTCAGATGTTTGGGACGGTCTGAATTTCTTGTTAGTTGTGTGTCAGTTCCTTGGATACCGCATTATTCTTGGGTATAACGCGATGCTCATCGGCCACGTACTAGTAATAAACAAACTGTTATCAGGACTAACCCCAGTCCCGTATCGACGTTCTGCACGGACGGTTTCTGTCCCTCCCTACCCAATATGTGAAACTTTTCTCTAGACTTGAAACGCGCTTTAACGTCAGCAGCACTGCAATTTCTTTTGACCCATCATCCTTGTAATTTGCACTCATTCAGCGATCAAAAAGCGATCTCTATTATAGAACGACTGAATTACACCTGGCACGAACAACACGCATAGATAAAAAGAGACCTCTAGTAATCCATTAGAGAACTGCAGCTCCCATTTGCCCCTATGGCTACATTGATTGCTGCAGTATTTTCTTCACTGCTAGAAGTCGCAAATGATACATCGCTAATTAGAGTCGCCATGATGTGGATGCCGAGGTCTGCGGAGAAGTTAGATATGTTAACGTTTCACAATAGTAACTCTTCTTAACCACTGGAGTTATTGCTGTTTCTTTGCAGAATGTGAAACCATCGATCAGTTCTCGTGCGGAAACGGCCTGTGTGTTCCTCACTTTGCGAGGTGTGACGGCGTCAACAACTGTGGCGACAACACTGACGAACAACAATGTGGTACGAAAAGGAACATAAACAACACTTCTAAATCAGCCGAACAGCAGTTCAATTTTTCAGCTTTTCTTGTAACTTCTTTTTTTAACGTTAGGGTAGACCAAACAAGGCGTCATCCAAATTCAATTTGCTGGTGTTGACTTTCCTTGGTACCATATAGGCGGAGTGTTCCTGTACCCTGCCATGTCGGCAGACTCTGCTGTCAACTTCTGGAGTGCTGCAAAGAGTTGTGAGGCTGTTGGAGCTCGTCTGGCCAGGTGGCAGGATCTAACGGAACAGTGGGCCAAGGGACTGGATATCTGCAGGTAGGTTATACATTTAATAAAATAAAATATACTTTCTCATTGTCAAATTTATGTTCAACTAGAAAGGCCAATATTTGCTTTGGAGCAAATACAGCGATGGGTTCACCACATTTTACGACATGGCAGGGAAAGAATGAGAAACACAAGGGAAAACAATGATTTACATTGATATAACTATAATATGAAGTAACATACAACTAAAACAACAGTTGGATAGCTATTCCCTACTTTATTGGTTAGGATTTTTAATTGCATAATGCAAACTGTTGATTTTCAAAATAAATAAAAAAACGTTCATGCCCCGCATTCCAATGCTGGAGCAGAATAGCTTGAAATACCTACCAAAACACTTGAATAAAGACATACTGTCAGTATGGAAATGCTCTGTGCAGGTGTTAATCAAGTTAAATCCCAACAGCCAATCAGCAAGAAATGCTCTGTGCAGGTGGAAATGCTCTGTGCAGGTGTTAATCAAGTTAAATCCCAACAGCCAATCAGCAAGAAGTATAGAGGAAAGCTGCATGCCTATTGGTTGATGCCCTGCATTCCATTGTGATGACTCATGCCCAGACGTGGTAAACACGGCACACTAACACAGTAATACATTTGCTATAACACAGCCAAAAAACTCAAATAAAACCATTCTAAAAGCCTGTATCACAAAAATTTAAAAAACGCCTAGGGGTATTTGCCCACTGTACCTCCATACCAAATTTCAGGACCTTAGGCCCTAAAATGAAGAAGCTGAATCCATTTAAAAATGGCAGGAGGAGGAGGAGGAGGAGGAGGAGGAGGAGAAGAAACATCAGAAAAAGCAATATGGGTTCACCACCACTTCGTGGTGTGGTGAACCCATAATTATACACTTTACTTTTAGTTTTTCATCTCATCCCATGGCTGGTCCAGGCTGAGTGTTATGTAAACAGTGTAGTCAAGTGACTCCTTGACTTGTTAATCCATTATATGTAATTGTGAATCAAATTTTCCAGGTCTGGATGGCTCCAAGATGGTGCTACTGCCCGTCCCATTCACACGGAGCGGGAGGACTGTGGTGTTGTTGGAGTCAGCCATGATGCAAACGTGATGTGGAACACCAAGCACGACGCCTGGTGCAAGGCACTCAGCAACAACTTTGGTATGTCAGAACTTAGAAAATTATTTTTTTCTTTTTCATTATAGAGTTTATACAGTATTTCGCATTATTTTTTTGTAGAACTCAACAATTTGGTACTAATAAATGCTAACTTCATGGATTATCACTTCTGCCCTACCCCCAGCCTGTGAGTCTGTTTCCCAGTACACCTGTAACAACCTGAACTGTGTTCCTAAGTGGGCCATGTGTGACGGGGTGGACAACTGTGGAGACTTCAGCGATGAGCTGCCAGACCGCTGTGGCAAGATAGCTGGCAAACCTAGTAAGAAGAATATATTAGTCTTCGCCTTTGTTTCTGTTAGGAATAATTTTGTCTTTCTCCTCTCAATGTGCTGTTACATGATCTTTTGAATGCTGTTAAATGTTTTGTTTCCTCCAGTAAAATGATGATGTTTTAGTAGTTATCAGTAATCAAGCCTTCTCAAGCCTCAGATGTGAAGATCCTTGTGGAAGATGTTGCTGTCAGTATGTATAATTATATATATTTAACGATAAATGATATATCCTTCCTCAGCCTCAGACCGGCAGGCTCCTGATGACAGTGTCAGTAAGGTGGTTCTGGTGTCAGACGAGCAGGGTGGAGACACCATCACCTTCCTGCAGGCTGCGGGCAGATGTCTGCAGATGGGCATGCAGATTGCAGCATGGGAAGAGCTCCGGGACTCGTGGAAGGCTGGGCTGGACCTCTGCAGGTAAGCTGTTTTTCACACACCACCCAAAGTGGTGAGCCTTTCTGACAAAATGTAGCCTTCCACAACCATGCACTTTCCTGGTTCAAAAGAAAACATTGTGTAAAACTTATTTTTGCAGGAACGGCTGGCTGTTGGATGGAACCATCGCCCACCCCATCCACACTGCCCGAGAGAACTGTGAGGAAGTAGGTGTGAATCATGAGGGGAGCCACGAGTACACTCAGAAGCACAATGTCTGGTGTAAGACTTCAAAGGACTATGGTGAGTAAATACAAATTCGTTTACAAAGACTGTTATAACGTTCTAAACACTCAATTGGACAATAACCAATATTTTATCATATAGTCAGTGCCCGAATGTTGACTGTCACAGCACAATCAAAACCAGAATATTCAAGACTCAACCACATAATATCATGCATATTCTATAATTCAAAACTGAGAGGTCTGTGATTACATGTGCTGGACATTCCTGTTGCTCTATGAACTTCTTGATAAATGAAAGTTGCCATAAGAAATGTTGTCTTCCAGATTGCAAAGGTGTGGACCAGTTCAGCTGCTCTAATGGCCTGTGTGTCCCACACTGGGCCAACTGTGATGGAGTCAACAACTGTGGGGACAACAGTGATGAGCAGCACTGTGGTAAGGAACCAAAATTCTTCAAAGGTTTGGGAAACATTTTTGAACAAACAACAAACTTCAGTGCCCAGTTTACTTGCTCCATCTCAGATAACAGCATCATTGTCATAACTTCATCTACTATGTGTTCTGTGAGCATGGCCATTTTGCTTCAAAGCTTCAGCTGCTGGCATGTTACTTTTTATTTAAAAGCTACTTGACTTGCTAAAGCTTGAATCTTTGCCACAAGTTTTGCATTGTTTGCTTGTTTCATCTCCTGCTGGTCAGTAGGCATGCTGGGGTTAGCTGTGCATAAAGAGGATGCTGTCAAAGGGTTACGGGATTCCATTGATGACTCAGCTGGTGGGTACATGGTCATCATCATCATCATGCATCATACATGTACATGATATTGTCTGATCAAACAACATCATTCGCAGGTTGTATTTCGAATATATACAAGCATTCCAACTTAGAAAAGAGGATTGTTGTCAAAGCTAAATCTTGCAGAAATGTTTATTCTTCAAGTATCTCTATTTAAAACTGTCAAAGTAGAAATAAGAAACTGCAAGTAAACAAGCTTTTCTTCTGTACCATGCAGCTTCTAGTACATTTATTAATTTTATCTGTTATAGTTAACATAATAATATAATTATTGCATGTCATAGAATACATTATGCCAATTTTATTTGTGCTGTAGAAATTGCATTAGAAGCAGATTTGGAAGGATTGTTTTTGTGTGGAGTAAATGGAAATGTTGATTTTTTAAAAAATCATGACACACTTCCACCCACATTTATCCTTACTGATCAAGCTCTTAGTTTGTAGTGCAAACACTGCTGAGCTCTGCTTACTTTGCTTTTTTGCCTTCCTGCAATATTTTCAAATTTGCCCTGTCCATGCTGCACTGCTGCTGCTGCTGCTGCTACATGAAGTAGGGTCCACAGGTGAGTTTAGAGGATTGCTCTTTGTCTTATATTTGCTCAGTCTCTATCTTTAATGGCCAACCAGTACTGTAATTGCCTTGACTGGCCAGTGTCAGTAAACTCAGGTTCAGCTTCCCAATGACATGCTTTTGGACTACATCAAAATAATCATTTATCTTTTTATCAAACTTGTTGATGCAAAATATTCCAGACTTTCCCAGAGCTGAAGGAGATGGAAAAGTCACACATAAGTCCTTTCCTACATCAAATGTTGCCATCTAACTCCCTCCCCCGCCCTCCAGGCAATGTGTTCCTATATCCTGCCCGCGGTAGTCCAGCTGTGACCTTTGACCAGGCAGAAGCCACCTGCTCAGCTATCGGTGCGCGTGTGGCCAGCTGGGAGGACCTGAGGGACACCTGGCTTAAGGGCCTGGACATCTGCATGTGAGCATTTCGTTTGACAATTTGAAAGCAATGCATACACAAAGTCAGCAATAAATTAAGGAGTATAAAACAAGTAATTTACAACTGTTACGATTCAAACTACTTCTTGATGTCATGTTCCAGGATGGGCTGGCTGGCAGACGGGACTGTTGCCCATCCGGTTCACACCAGTCGTGCAAACTGTGGCTCTGACATCAATCACGAGGGTTCCCGCGAATACTCAGAGAAGTTCTATGTCTGGTGCCAGCCTAAGAAGGAGACATTCTGTAAGTTGCAATTGGGATGTCTGAACCGTCTTTCTGTTTGTGAATGATAATTATTAGGACCTTGACCAAACAACTGGATACTTTGGTTTACAACTGGATACAAAAGGGACTTTCTAGATAATCTCTATAAGAACCTTCAGTGGGGCCTAACAAGCAAAGGTGTGTAAAGTATATTGTTTTTGGCTTGTCAATTGTGTGACTGCAATTTTTGTCAGTTCTGCCAGAGGGAGCAGTGCAGTTTTTAGTAGTAAACACTGAGCAGATTATTATTGGAATGAGCAGAGCACTTTGGACTAATGCCTCTGACTATTTACAGCTTAGAGGTACATGTCCAATCTTTTGTCACAAACTTCTCTGTTACATAGCGGATCATAATGACCCCCAGCGGGGGTCTTCACGCTTCGTTAAAAATGGAAAAATCTCAAGATTCATTCTAAAGATCTCAATATTTTAGACGAAATCTTGAGATCTTATAAGACAATCTTGAGATTGTTCATGACAATCTCCAGATCTTTCAGAAAATCTTGAGATGAAAACAAAAGGTCTCAAGATCTTTCCAAATGTTTTCAAAGTATCTTGAGATTTTTCCAAAGCATTTCAAGATTGCTTTAAAAATCTTGATATTTCTTAAAGCATCTCGAGATGCTATGGAAAAATCTCAAAATACTTTGAAAACATTTGGAAAGATCTTGAGACCTTTTCTTTTCATCTTAAGATTTTCTGAAAGATCTGGAGATTGTCATAAAAAATCTCAATATTGTCTCATAAGATCTCAAGATTTTGTCTAAAATATTGAGATTTTTCCATTTTTAACGAAGCGTGAAGACCCCCACTGGGGGTCATTATGATCCGCTATGTAACAGAGAAGTTTTTGACAAAATATTGGATATGTACCTCTAAGCTGTAAATGGTCAGAGGCATTAGTCCAAAGTGCTCTGCTCATTCCAATAATAATCTGCTCGCTGTTAGTAGTACTTTATTGTATGCTCCACCAGAAGAGGTAAAGCCTGCCTTCCTTTCTTTTACTGCAGCTTGTAGTGACATCATGCAGGATACCTGTGACAATGGACTGTGTGTCCCGCCTACCTTGAAATGTGACGGTATCGACAACTGTGGGGACGGCAGTGACGAGAAGTGTGACGGACAGACAGGTGAGTTGTTTGTACATTTGGTCGAATGTCTAATTCTATGTGGAGGGTCAGTCTTCTTTTTCTCACTCATAATGTCATCAGAAGTTTTCAAACTAGAAGTTTAAGCAATGCCAGTATAAGGGAAGATGGTGATCGCCTGCTTAATGTAAAACTCATGTTTGGAGTTCGCCCTTGTTAAATCCAAGACCGCAAGCACAGAAGACTAGGTCCTCTTGTCACAGCAATAAAGCTTTAGGGAACTCTCAAGATGCATTAGGCACAGCTCAGAACCCTGAAGAAAGACTGGATGCAACTATGCGTTTAAGTGACTATCTGGTGCAGAACATATAGAAACTTGCAGGTTTCCAGAGGCAGTACAATTACTGTATTCTCCCTCATAACCCTGTATTTTTCCAGCCTCAGTGAAGAGCAGCCATGTCTTCCTGTATGAGGGAAACAGGGTGTTTGATGCCCGTATGGACAAGGACATGTATGACTTCACTCAGGCAGAGACCAAGTGTGCAGAGTTTGATGCCAAAGTTGCATCCTTGAACGACCTGAGGGATGCCTGGGAGGCAGGCCTGGACATCTGCAGGTGTGATGTTGTCATGGTTAATGAAAAATTTCAAGGACAGATAGATCTTGATTGTGCTCTTTATCTTTTTCCTGAAAATAGTGCCAGAAATGATCTTAAGTTAACTGTCATGCAAGGGTAGAGTATACCAGGCCAGGAAGGCATGATTTAACTCAATCCTAACTTCTTTCTGTTGACAGTATAGTCTGCAGAGAAGAAATTTTGTGGAAAGATGCACATTCTCAGTCATCCATCCATAAAAGTTACTTATGGTTTGCAAACTGACCTAAAACAATCATGCCACTCTATTATATACACATGTAATTGTAGATTATTTGTATCAATGAAAACAAGTGAAACTTATTTTCTTCAGTCTGCATCTTTTTTCCTCCCCAACAAGTCACGGCTGGCTGAATGACAAAAGTGTTGCCCACGCCGTCCACTTCCCTCGTGAGGGGTGCACAGAGATGGGTCTGAACCAGAGGGGTGACGTGGACGTGTTTGAGGAGTTCCACGTGTGGTGCAAACCTAAGTCTGTCGTCGGTACGTGAGGAAAGTCCTTCAAACATCTAAGACATCATCCTTTAGGGTTGTTGGCCTTGACTTTATTATATAGCCAAACCCTCTGTTGTACATTGTCAAGCATTTTCTATTGCCTTCATCTTTCTCTCGTTCTTTCTTCTGGACTTGTTTTGCATGTTTAACCATTTCTCCTTTAGTTCCATTAACTCTTCTTTTTCTTTGGGTTGAGGAGGCCAACATCAGCAAAATGATGAATCTGCAATATTCAAATAACTGTGGACACACAAGTAAACAAACAAACAATCACGCTGAAAACAAAACCTCCATAATGACTGTGCTGTGAATCAACCATTTTCAGCCTGTGACCATGTTAACCAGTTTGGATGTGGCACGGGTCTGTGCATCCCTGAGTGGGCCAGGTGTGACGGCATCAACAACTGTGGAGACAACAGTGACGAGAGCAACTGTGGTGAGTCACATCTTTAGTGTCTGACCTCTGAGATGACATCTAGAATTAGATATCACATGCATCATGGAAGCACAAGTATTGAAGTAAGGAAATCTTGACCTCATGACAACCACATTATCAGCACCAAGAACAGTTACAGTTTGTCCTTGGTGCTGATGAGCTGGTGGTTACTTACCGGCCATAACCTGTTAAATGTTATTGTAGAGTTATTAAGTCTCAGAACACCCTGTGAAAGCAAAGCTGGCATTCTTAGACTAGCACAATTGCCAGAACAACTTTGTTTAGAAAATTAACCATTGTTCATCATCCATCTGTTAGATTTAACACAGAGTTGGCAGCTTACTTCCTGACAGTCTCTTCCTTTAAACAAAACAAGAACATAATGTTTTCATATCATGGAAGTATCATATATGTGTTGGAAGAAATGCTTGAATTCTACAACTGATAAAAAGAGACTGATTCTCTTGTCCAGGACACGTGTTTCTGTACCCTGGGAAGGAGAATGACGTGTCAGGTCAGGTGACCTTCTGGATGGCAGAGCAAGCCTGCGCCAAGGTCGGGGCACGAGTTGCATCATGGGAAGACATGTACAACACCTGGCAGCTTGGAATGGATATCTGCAGGTATTGTCACTTTTTCCTTAGTCAATTTAGTCAGATATATGGGTATGGTGCCATATTATCTCTACTAAACATGTAAAATTTATTATACATTGTGAACTTGGCTACATGTCATAATGAACTGAATGACATCAGCTTTGGGACTTAGGAACTTTCATAGATGTTTGGAATTTTTCTTCCAACAATGACAATGTCCTGGATTAGTCATGTACATTGATATTACTTGAATGTACATAAACTATTAATAATAAAAAGCATAATTTATTACTTGAATATACATTAACTATTGATAATGAAAATCATAATTTATCGCAAGGAATTGGCCAGTGATTAACCATGTTAGATTGGTCTGATTTAGTTCAGCCAGTATGAAAATATAATTTATTGCATTGTCACACTCTAAAACTTCCTCATTTCCAGGATGGGTTGGTTGTCAGACGCGACCACAGTGCACCCGATCCACACGTCTCGTGAGAACTGTGGTGACCCCGGACTGATCCACTACGGCCAGCATGAGTACAGCATGGTGTTCGACATCTGGTGCCAGCCTGTGGAGGAAGGCTGGGGTAGGCTCACAACTTCTTACCTGTTTTGGTAAAACAAGATTGCAACTATGATCTACTTTCAAAATTGTGTCTAGTGCAAGGGCTGTAAGTAGCCATTCAAATTTTGCATCCTTTTTGTCTGCATCAGGTATTCCTTTTCATTCTAACATCATGTGATATTGTAAATGTGATGTCTTGTGTCAGAAAATCGTGGCCAATTGCCTGTGGTGTTCCTATCATTCTGTCTTTTTATTATTGATATTATAGTGGCTGTGCAAGATTGAGCCCTCTGTGTGTAATACATCTGTGTTTGTAGACTGCTCCAGGGTGGACCAGTTCAGCTGTGGGAATGGACTGTGTATCCCAGACTGGCTACGATGTGACGGTGTAGACAACTGTGGGGACAACAGTGATGAGAACTGTGATGGAAGTACTAGTGAAAGTACGTACAACACATTTGGGAGATAATTAGAATACCAGAAGAAATACAATGCTGCTACTTGATTACCACAATAATATGAAATCCTCCTTATTCTATTTAAACCCCTCCAACTTGAAACTCTTCATTTTGTCAGTGATTTAAGCACAATGTATGACATCTACACAGCATTTTCTTTATTTTGTATTCAAAATTAGTTGTTAATGGAATAGAGAACATTTTGGTGATGGATAGGACACTTGCTTGTATATGATATTAAGTCAGCATTTGCACCCTTTTCTTTTCTGGTATTGGTTTTCTGTTGCACGTGTGGTTTGTGCTTATTTTATGTTATATTTAACTTTAATTTTTATTTTCTGTTTTTTTTCATGCTGCTTTACTGTTTAGTGGCTTGTGGTGAGATCATCATTTGATGTTTTATGTTAACTGTTTTTTTTTTATTTTCTGTGTTTCTTGTGCACGTGTGCTGTTGTGGTTTGTGGTGGTTTGTGGTGTTGGTATGGTGATGGCATGCAGGGGTTAAAAGTGCAGATCAGGCTCGCAGAAGAGGTAAGGCATCAGACAAAACCTGTGATTATAATGCTGAGATAACCTCAAGCTTATTGTAGTGTTGGTTATCCAAACTTCTTAATAATGATATAATGCTGCCAGCTGGTCTTTCCTCCTGCACAATTTCGTATGTCTTGAGGGTGATAGTCCATTTTTTATCTGCTCTGTATATTTTATTAAATATTTGTATCTGAATGTTTTTTTTGGCCCGAAGCAAAGAACAAAAAAAATTAGTGAATAGGTGAATAAAGGAGAAAAAAGAAACATCGTTGCCTGCACTGTTACATGTTTTAAGGCTAATATAGTATTACATTCATTAACATAATTGTTTTACACACATTGCACCTTTGCATACAGTAAGTTACCATTAACACTTCTTCTCTTGTCAAGCTGTTGTTTACAGGTGCCTGCATGTAAGATTTTGGAACTAATAAAGACAACTTTGTTGTTAACATTTCCATTTGTTCAGGAAGTAAATACCTCAAAGTGTACTTCCACATAAGTCTTCAGTTTTTAATAGTACGCGATGACAGATTTTAGGGTAACCAAGTTAGTATCTAATACAATGTGAAATGGTTTCTCACACAACAGTTTCCTCCCACAGGTGGAGAACAGATGGTGTTCCTGGTTGAAGGCGAGGAGGGAGAACAGTCCGTCACGTTCCTGGACGCTCCCGAGGCCTGCGCCAAGTACAACGCCAGGGTGGCCGCCTGGGAGGAGCTCAGGGACACATTTGTGGAGGGTCTAGATATCTGCCGGTAAGTCTGCTGTCTCAGGGTACTAACATGTCCTCACTGGTGTGGATATTGTTACTGTATTTTTCCATTTACTAGTATATCATTTTTTGCAGCATCAGTGTTAGTCACTAGAGAATCAGGACACTGGCAGTGCACACTGAGGAAGACATTAACTTCACATGTTTAAAGAGAGAATGTTTGCACCTAGAGCTCACCAACACAGATGAACTCTAATGATATTAACTTCACTTGTGTATCTTATGTATTGATGACTAACATGTCTCACCAAGTTGTTTTGATATTCCTTTGGAAATGTGTTTCTTTTTTATTTTAAGAGCTGACACTTGTGCTATACTGTAAGTAGACTTACATGTAAATCCCTCCAAAAATAAAGGAATTTACAGTAAACTGTTTTACCTTCCAGTCTTGGCTGGATGAACGATGCTACAGTAGCCCATCCCATCCACACTGCCAGGGAGAACTGCCCTGATGTGGGCGTGGTTCACGGGGGCAGCATCGAGTTCTCTGAGAAACATGACATCTGGTGCACCCCTATCAACAGCAACAAGCTTGGTACAGTCCATTCATAGAGTCTTTTTTTCTTAAGCACAATCTGATGATAAAGTTTATGGAAGCTTGTAGAGAGGTTGAATTTTATTGCTAGTGAATATTGTGAAAACCTCAGAAAATCAAACATGGTACAAGGATGTTAAATGTAAACTTTAACTTAAATTTGAAACTTTTTAAGTTAGCTATTTGTTTTGTCTTTGGTGTTCAAACCTGTCTGATAGAAAAGCGTGTAATGCTCTAGATCTGGTATTACTACTATCAAATGTCTGTGAAGAAGCAACAATTTCAAGTACATGTAAGTAATGTATTAACATTGTGTGTGCTTACTTTCAGACTGTGAAGCATACAAACAGTTCCCCTGTGACAATGGGTTGTGTGTGCCCCGCTGGGCTCTCTGTAATGGTGTCAACAACTGTGGAGACAACAGTGATGAAGACCACTGCAGTAGGTGTTACCTTTCATCTCTAAACAACCAACTCTTCAAAGTTGTCTGATTTTTATGTGTACAGAAGTATTGTTTTGGGTGGCTGAGTGCATATGGGTTGTCTGTCTGTCTGTCAGAGTTTACAGCATGCAGTGAAGAATGGGAGGGTCCTCCCAAAGGTCTTAGAATCTGGCAGGGAGCCAGCAGGATAAAGTCACATAGGATTGCTGTTTTCCAGGCATATAAAACTTCTGATTTCTTGTTTTTCTGTGCTGTTTGCAGGGTCTACCTTCCTGTTACCGGGGTCCCAGGGCCAGTATAACCTGACCTTCAGGGCAGCAGCAGCAGAGTGTAACAAGTTTGACGCTCGCGTGGCTCAGTGGGAAGATCTACTCCACGCCTGGGACCAGGGAATGGACATTTGTCGTTTGGTAGGCCCTGCTCAAGCAAAAACCTACTCTTATTGTGACCTAAATGTTGAGTCTCAAAACAGGTCATGATTCTATATGTGATGACTGTTGATCTCAGTGCTCATAGAGAATCTGAACTAAAAAAAAAGAGAACTAATAATATAATATCTTACTCCAACTAATTGAATTGTTATCATATTTTTGGAAGGCTGTTTAGTTATTTCTTTAGCTGACTGAAGTACATGAACACTAAGTTCATTGCTTCAGTACCTGAAACCATACCTGTCCAGTAATACCATCATGCTCTGTTATCAGTCTGATTCAGAGCAACGTTATATCATGGTAAAAATGAACTCCCCTTTGCAGGGTTGGCTTCAAGATGGAACAGTGGGATTCCCCATCCACTTCCCCCGGGCCCAGTGTAAGGGAGGGGAGAACACTAAAGGAATCCAGCACTTTGGCAGTCAGATGCACAACTCTAAGTATGATGTCTTCTGTATCTTCAGGAATGAAGACAGTGGTAAGTACCTAAACTGGCTAATTTGAAAGTAAACTTTTCCAGACATTATTGAGACGTTAAGGATCAATTTTGGTTATAAGGTAGGGAGAAAGCAAATAAGTAAGAGACCCTGGCTACAGTGTACTGCTGCACAAATACTGCATGGCACTGTAACATTGATCTGACAATGTACGTTTCCCCAGACTGCAACACCATCAACCAGTTCACCTGTGGAAATGATCTGTGTGTTCCCTTCTGGCTCAAGTGTGACGGAGTGAACAACTGTGGGGACAACAGTGATGAGAATGCCTGTGGTATGTATCAGTTTTTCTTATACACTCAAACTCACCATACATGTTTAATGTTACTTTTCCCCATTGTATGAAAGTAACATCTTGCATTTGGATGCCATTTTTTTTTATAGTCCTGTTCTTCAACAATCATTTACTAAGCCAGTTCTCCTCTTATATCTTATAAATTAATTCCCAGCGCCAGATATTCTGGACTGCACCAATGGCCTTGCGGAGGAAGACTGTGACCTGCTGACCAAACTTCTGGACGCCATGCTGGCAGACATACAGGAGGAGATGGGGAAGATCCGGCCTGGAGAGGGCCCGGTCGTGGCTCCTGGGAATGCTAAGGAGCGGCTGGAGCAGCTGGCACAACGTATCAATGACTTGAAAGTAAGGAAATAGAAATATCATACATTTACAATGTATTGCAGAAAGCCTACATGTACTGTAGTATGTATGCTCTCATGACTTGTAAAATTTTGCAAATGCCATTGCATCAACATGCTCAGCTATTTTAAAAGGCTGCTTTAAATGAGTAACTAGTAAAACATAACCTTCTGAGCAAAGGTAAACAAGTTTCAAACACACATCTTAAGGGTGATAAATAACAATAAATTTCTGCATTTTTTCTGCCATAGGACCAGATCAAGTCATGGTCATCCCCTGATATGGACAAACTCAGAGATGCAATCAAGCAGGCTGATGAACAGGATGCCACGCCCCTCATCCGTAAGGTGGGTAGATGAGTTTCACTTTTATTGAGGTTCACTTTTAATTTGCATTTTGCAAGCTATTCTGTCAATCTTATCTTTGAAAAACATGCATCTAAAATACATAATTTATACATATTGCAATACATCATCTTTTTCTTACCAAATTTTGTCATTGTATTTTGTAATATATAAGATTTACTCATGCTGAGTATATAGTGAGTCTTACTTGGAGAAAAATTGAAGAGAGCTGTGCCTTCTCCAGGCTGAGCGTGTAAAGAACAATGGTGAGTCTGTGGACAACAACGCAGACACCACCAAGAACAGGGCTGAGGAACTGGAGAGGCAGATGGACGCACTGAAACAGAAGATGGGTAAGGCCATAGGAATAACTTCAACTCTTGACATATAATTCCTTCACTTTCCCTAAGACTGCCACATTAAAGATAAAATGATTTTGAAGAACTCTACCAATGCAACCGTTACATCAGTAATCCCAAGTATACACACTTCCAATAGCCAGCTGTTAAAGACATTCTTATTAAGAATGTCTTGGTAATGTCTTTTTTTTAATGTGGCAGTCTTGGGGTACCTAAAGGAATTTTGAGAGGTGACATAGTGCTGTAATGGAAATTAAAAAGCTTACTTTACCAATAAAGCAGATGAAGAATTGTAGACTGACATGTATCACTTCATGATAAGAGTACCTTTTAGTACATTACCTCCAGTGTTTTCATCATAGGCTTCCTAGCTTTAGATTTCATCTTTAGCATCAATTTTTTATGTGTCTTTTTCAGATGAGATAAAGGCTGCCCTGGAAGAGAAGACTGGGAATGTCAATGTTGCAGACCTACAGGAACAGCTGCGAGAGGCACGAGAAATCCTGCAGGAAATGCAACAACGGAAAACAGACAACATCAACTTCAAACCCAGCAAGGAGGCAGCAACTAATGAGAAAACAGAAGCAGATAAATGTAAGACATCTTGCCTTCGAAGACATTTTTATAAATCAAAAGAACCAGTAATGCATCAATGCATGTAAAAGAGAGCAGTATTTCATACTGTCAGTGTTTAAGAGCTATGAACAGCTATCATCCAAAGTATCCAGCATGAGTTTGTTATCTCAGGGATTTGTGTTGAAATGAGATGATGAAAATGACTCACTCAGCATTAGCTGTCTGTTCCTAACTATGGTGCTGAAACTGTTGTTGTTAGATGGAAAAAGTTTTATATGTACAACATGATACAGTTATTCCATGTTGAGCTCATTAACAATGTCTGTTTTTGAAACATAAACTAATTTAGCTTGTAATAGGTGTGTTCCAGTATAAACTGAACGACATACCCAGCCATCTTTGCCATCCATTCACAATCCTGTTCTGTAACCTGATATTTTGTTCCAGTGTCTACAGAGGTAGATGATTGGCTGAAGCAGAGCTCCACAGGAAGTTTTGTCAAGATTGAGGCTGAGCTGCGGAAGTTTACTCAGGGTCTGGATGATCTTGCACAGGCTATTGACCAGGCAAAAGAAAAGGTCAGTGTGCTTCTGACCTACAAGCCTTGACCTATGACATATGTGGTATAGTAAGTCAAGACTGTTTTAGACACACAGTTTATCTGTCAAAGGTTCTACAGATCAGTTATCAGTGTAAAAGGACAAAATAGGGCTGGACAATTCAAAAGGGCAGATGGGATAATCAGTGTTGATCAACCGTTGGTGTTCTTTTGAAAATAATATCAAAATCATTTTGGCATACATGTCATATATAAAAATTGATTTTCTTTTGTAATGTTTTACAGACCACGCAAGCAGACAATTTGAACCGTGCCAACGCAGACCGTCCAGACAAGCAGCTGATGAATGATGTGGATGTGAAGCACAACGAGCTAAAAGATGTCATTAACAATGCGAAGGCCACCCGCGATGATGCCAAGACTGTCCGGGACATGGGAAGGTCTATTCAGGTGAACTAATTACTCTTTTCTTACACCATTATGTGGTGTAAGTGTTCGACTTTGACTCTATATTAGAACTTCGCATTTCATTTCTCATTTCTACAATGTTTAGATTTCAAAACACTAATAATACACTATTTTCCTGCTTTTTCAGCAAGCCCTGGAGAACAAGAATGTGCAGCTGACAGCTGCTAAGATTGCCATCCAGAACAAGGTGAATGAGCTTGGGGATATCACAACACTGGAAGACAAGGTCAAGGAGGCAGAGGAGCATGCTGAGAATCTGGAGAAAAGAGCCAAGGACATCGAAAAGTTAGTCTGCACTCCTGACATTCTCTGACATTTTAATCATTCTGCAAAGTTGGTTTACAATGTTACAAACTTTGGCATTTGACCTAGTATCTGGGTAGCTTTCTGACAGCTAATATTTCTCTTTGCTTGTAGACTGAAGGACAGTGGTGGGGATTCCAAGAAGGCTGTGGAAGTGATTGACGCCTACACAAGCGTAGCTAATAAGATCAACGACGCCGAGGCTGCCGCCAATGCTGCCAGGAGGGCAGCTAATGATGCCAAAAATGTGAGCATGTCTCAACTTGTGATTCGACAAGTACTGAGGACTAAGTCTTTCATTATGGGAGGGTCATGATGGCTCCATGGTGCTGAAATGCCTTCATTTTGATTCTTGTCTGCAGAGATGGGTGCATTTTCTGTTGATTGGCTATATTATATCTTGTACGAAAAATAGGAGAATTTGTTGATTGAACAGCAATGTCAATGTGGATTTGCAGAGTTTTGTATGGCTGCAAATGAGTATTTATTCATGTTTTCTTTCATGTTTCAAGTTTCTACTGTTTCTATCATGTTACTTTTTCCAGATTGTTGATGATGGAAACTTTGTGGTGGAGGCACGGAATTCCAAACGGAAGAGTGAAGACAATCAGAATCAGGCAAACGATCAGAAGAACATGGTAGACAATGGTAAGGAATTTGAGCAATTGCTTAATATATATATGTTTTGGGTTTCCAAAATTGAAATGAAGACTCTGCACTGGGGTTCAAACAGCTTGTTGACGTTAATTTGCTATGTTAATCATGAGCACATACAGATGAACTTTCTAAGCTTTTCTGTTTGTGTCAGAACTTAAGCCCAGACTGGAGGCTGGACGCCAGGCTACAGATGCCGTTCAGAACGGGCTGAACAGGGGCAAAGATCTACTTAATGGCATCACCAGCCAACTCAACACTCTGGGTAAGTTACATCATTCAGCCTTCCTTTTACCTCCAACTGAAACTTACATGATGATACATACAGTATGAACTTTTAATTTCAGTTATATTCAATGACACCCACGTTCAGGGCGTTCCGCATATTTGCACTGCGTTTCAGGTACATGTGAGTATGCTGAGATGATGGCTCTAAGTTTTCTTGTTATTTTCTCAATCTTTCTCTACTGCCAGTTCTTACCGAATCTGTGGATCAGGCAAAGATAGAGAAAGCAGCCAACCGAGCCACACGAACAGAAGGCACAGTGAATGACATCATTTCTGGCAAGTATGCCGAGGACAGCAACCTGCGTGGGAACCTTAAGAGTCGTGAGTGGCCAGTCTCCTCTTTCATGGCAACCAGAATAATTTTTGCTTTGAATTCGTGCATGCCAGTCACTCTGGCAGCAGTTCTCTGTTTGATGATAATGTATCTAAGTTACTGTAACAATATATCACCGAGTCATATTTAAATATAATATATCTATGAATTATATTATATCATAAAGATTTCAAAAAAATGTGTAGTTCTTCAAGCGTCAAACTGTATAAACCATTTTAAGAGCTGCTACAAAAGTTGTACAGTCCCAGTGCTCATTTAGAGCAGATTCATCATTGTGTAGCATTCATTTTTTTTGTTACTTACGACTGTTACTTGAACATGATATAATATATCATTGTTGCTGCAGTGCAAGAGATGGAGAATGCTGTTGGAGTCAGCAGTGGTGGAGGGGGAACAGGCGATCTCGGTGGTGTCCAGGCAAACTGTGAGATTCAGTTCATACTTTTTCTACACAATATCAACAGACAGTTAGATATCTATAGTAAAGTTAAAACTTTTGTTCCAACACAAGCGAGCTCACCTAGAGCTCTAGTCTTTTTCAATAGACTTACCCAGCAAGACTTGTCACATGGCTTCTCTGAAGTGTGACATCAACACTGGGTCAAAGGTATCCTGTAAACAATGTCGGCCCCCATCGCTGTTGAGTGATCATATTGTTTAGCAGATAGCTTTAACCCTGTTTTGGGGTCACACTTCAAAGCTCTAGGTGAGAACAATGTCTTGTGTTGGACCAAAAGTTTTAACTTCAACATATGACTGCATGTACCAACGCAGATGAATTTTAATGATAAACAGTTAGATGGTCATGAAGTTTACTCTGCATTGGTGTAAGCCATCCACAACATCTCCATGTTCCCCCAGTGAACACCGTCAGGGCCAGTCTGCAGCAGGTGTCGAGTCTGCGTGCTGAGCTGAGTGCCAGGTTCATGTCCTCCAGCACCACCTTCAACCAGGTAGCTGGGAGTGTCCGCGCCATCCAGGAGATGATCAAGAAGGCCAGGGAAAAGGTCGACGAGGTCAGAGACAGTCTGCTTTATTTCCAGTGCAAAATGATGGTCACTCCTCACCTGGTCCCAATTTCCCATGTATTCACTTGAGACTAATAATTACCGCTTAAACATGGGAACAATAGAGGGTCAAAGCAAAGCCTATTTAGGGGTAACTTGCATCTGTCACTGGCAGTGATACATTATGTCAAGGCAATATAATAAATGTACAGCTGCTGCAATATTATAATTATAGCACATGTCTCAAGGATTTTGTAGTCTGGTAGGTAATTATTCCATGTTTAGACAACTTATAGTTGTAATCATGTGGTGAAAAAATTACAAATTTTGCTGCCAATTTTTGAAGTCAGTCGTATGTGTCTGCAATGTGAAGAGAAAAATCATAAAAACACCCGAGTGTTTGACTGTTAACCTTTCAGATCGGGATCCCGATGAACTTTGGCAGGCGATCCAGTGGTGCTGGAGGTGGAACCGCTGTACAACTGAACCAGCCTGCTGTCCTACAGCGACTGGCCAGCCACAAGAACTACTTCACACTGTCCATGGAGATCAAACCCACACAGCAAGATGGAACCATCCTCTTCATGGGAGACCCTACAAATGTAAGGAACACTTACTTTGCAGGGTTATAAGGGCATTGAAAGTGCAATGCAAGTTTTAGAAGGACTGTTAGTAAGATAAAGACTGGTAAAGAGAGATATGCCATTATGTTAATTAATATGTCATTATATAGAATCTTGCCATTGAGTATAAGTAAATAGTTATTGAAATAACACTACAAAATAATGATTATAATTGTTTGATGAAATTAACTAAATCCGCCCAATTTGTTGAAGATGATCTAACTTTCAATGAATATGATTTCCCCTTATTATTCTCAGGCAAATGGAGGCTTTTTTGCACTGGAGCTGATTGGTGGCAGGGTTCGTGCATCCACCAAACTCAGCAGTGCCAGTCCGTTCTCTGTCATCTCCAGGGGTGCAGTGTCCATGAACAGCTGGAGCTGGATCAATGTGGAAAGGTCAGGTCAAGGTCACGTTCAACCTGTGGGTAAAAAAGTGTCCATCTTTAAGCAGATGTTGGGCTGTAACTGATCATTGTCTCTAACAGCCATCTATAGATTTTGGGGTGGATGGCTGCCTCAGAGAAGATGGGCCTGCCAGTCAGAAAATGTTACTGTAACAGTCCCCAAATGATGTTAGAATCTGCTGGGTGATTACAAATACAAAAGCAATATAATACCTGTTCAAGCTTGCTGCAAAATAATGAATTTTACCCTGGTCACAAAAAAGACACAATATGTTCAGAACAGTTCAATTATACACGTCAGCTGCAATGTACATAGCTTCATATGATAATAGGAAAAACTCAAGGAACTGGACTGGAGGGGCTTTTAATGCTTGGGTCAATAAGTGGAAAAAATCTAAAGATCACTGAAAAATAGCCACAATGGCTAAGTGGTCTTCTGCAGAGGTGGTCACCAGTACAGCCCTGGTGTCTTTGAAAATGTCCAATGACTTTAAGATGCTGTCTCTACCAAGGAGTGTGTTGAAAGCTCATTGTCTGTACTAAGTGTACCTGTGTTTTGTTGAACTATCAGAGTTGCTAACCGGATGGAGGTGACAGTGTCAGCAGACAGGGAAGAGACGACAGGTGGAACAGACGGCTCCAACTTCATCCTGTTAGACCTGCCAGCAGGGTCAGGGCTGTACATGGGAGGAGTGCCTGCTGGATCCAGTGTGAGTAAACTTTACCTCCATCTGCAAAATCCAAAGCATTATCATGAATGTCAACAAGCAATTTGAGATTTCTTTGTACACAACAAAAGCAAATTAATACTAAATTTGAGATGCTTTGCTCATCTGATGTTTTCTGAACAATTTGAGTTACTAATCAAAGTTCATCTTACAGAGCCAATCCAGACCACTCCAGCATCAACTGAGTTGTTTGCGATTAATGCGTCTCCTTCTTTCCAGCTCCATGCAAGTCTGCAGGGAAACAGTTTCACTGGAAACATTGATGAGCTGAAGTTTGGAGAAACTCCACTCAGTCTCTGGAACTTCCGAGCAGCTGCAGGCATGCTGTCCCCAGGCATTCCCCCTGACAGGGAAAGGTGAGCTTCACACAGCAGAGTTAATAGTATCAACCACTGGTTAGTACTGCTGTGGAACGTTCAGGTCCACATCTACTTCAGTTTCAGGGAATCAGGTTTAGACCTGAACATGTCTAGTCCGTTGAGTCTGTTAAGTAGTATATTATTTTCTTAATTTTGGCTAGACATGATCACAGGCCAATGCCACTTCTCCTAAAAATCATTGATAAGCTCAAGTTTATTTGGACTGACAGTGCCTTCAATATTTTGAGAAGACAATACATATTTATATTAGTTTTACCCTGCACAATAGTCAGGTTTGCACAATATTATGTAGAGTGACTGACTGACATCTAATTTCAGGGGAGTGACAACCACATTCAATGGATTTTACTTCAATGGTGGAACATACGGTTACACCAAACCAGACCCGACAAAACCTTTTGACATCTTCGGGACCGAGAAAAGAATCCAGGTCTACGTTAAACCAGCAAGTGATCAGGGACTCATCTTCTTCATTGGTGACAAGGTCAGGCACCATTTTCCTTTTTCTTTTTTATGCCATCATCCCAAAATATGATGATTGCAACCCCTCACAATATTTCCATCTTTAACTTTAACCTGCTTATGCCACTGGGAACATTCATGACAATCACTTCCTTGTGAAACTGAATCAGATGCTTTAATGTCCACTATCATTATATAGCTGGGTGAATACTAGTAGTTCTTTTTGTCTGAATGATTCTCATAAACTTTATACCTTCAAGATCAAGACAACAATCTAAAATTATCAACTGTGAAACATGCTCCAGGTAGTTATTATATGATAATATGAAATTTGATATTTCACATTACTAAATAAAATGGAATGTGTTTTTCATGACAAGCATCAAGATGGCATTAGTGACCTTGTCAAATTTTGGAGCAATTATTCTAAAATTTACCTATTAGTAACTGTATTTTAATATGTTAAATGGTATCTCAATTCACACAAAAGTAAACACAAAAATTAATCTGCATCATGATACATTATGACTTTCAATTGATACATTATGACTTTCTTTTACAGTCCTACTTTATTTCTGTTGAGTTGATCAAAAGCAAAGTTGTGGCCACGGTGAAGTTGGGTGATGGCACCACACCGATCGTTGTGCAGAGTCAGGATAGTCTGAAGGACCTGATGAAACAAGAATTCATCAATGTAAGAATTCTTACTTACTTATTCACCATACACAATAATAAACATTTATTCATTCATTCAATTAATTGAATACTTGTCTAGCATACATTATAGTACCATAAATAACTTTATGAAAGGAATTCCAATTTTGTATCTTTCTGAAATTTGAAGTTATAATTATTATATAATAGTAGATTCATGTAGTTTGAGTGAAATCATTTTGAATAGAATTAACATGTTTTGCATATTAATATGAACAATCATAGTGACATATGCAGTTAAGACACTGTCTATAGTTCACAGCTGCTGTAATCGACTTATGAGATTAACCAGTTCATTTCACCTCTGTCTTGACCAATCAGACAGAAATAGATGCGATTGATCGTGATAAAATGGATCACATCAGGGATTATTACAGCAGCAATAATTCTGATTGTAATTGATGTGTCAAACCCAGGTCATGCTGCAGTCCAACACCAGGTTATGTGCAAAAGAATTTGGGAGCGCCCGTGGCCTGTTACTTTTTGTTGGCCGAGATCGGAAGTGTGTGAGGATGAACGTCCCGGGAGGATCTCGGGAGATCACCAACCAGGTGTACATGGGCGGGCTGCCGGATAACCTTTGGCCAGAAGAGTATGTACCTTCTATAATAAGGCACAAATGCAAACTATGGAAATTATCTTGTACAATTTGACATGGTCAGACCATCTAAGGAACTACATGTACTAATTACAGTCTAGTAAGCAAAAAAAATAAGCAGAAATTATTTTTTTGAATGTCTAATGTCTAATATTGAATGATTTGTTCTTTTCTAATCAACACAGTTCAATGTGTGAATATTTATATAGTGTATAGGCAGAATTTTCAAACGAATGTTCCTCACATCTGTCCAGGTTATCCAAGAACTTCTACGAGGGTTGTGTGAAGAACCTGCAGGTGCAGAGACAGGACAAGCAGATCGAGGTGACAGGAGGGGTCATCGGAGGATGTCCTGCACTGGTGGGTGCAATACTAGTAAACACATGTCAGCCTTATATTAGAAGATTCTAAGACATGAGGAGCGTTACTAGAGCACTAGACTACCCATTGAGCACATACGGACAGCAAAGAGTCCATCCTGGTGTACAAATGTATGTGGTTCAAACCGGACAATCTGGCCTCCAGGTACACATCTCGAAAAGGTGATGATGGTCACCTGTTATGTCTGACTCAGTGATCCTTCCACAAATGTGGTAAAACTCAATGATTGAATAGATATCTAAGAGAGGGCAGATCATGTCATAGTAAAACTTTTTAAATTCAACAATACATCAACCATGTAAAAAACCATGATCATAATGATCTAAGTTCATGGTAGATTACTGGTTGATGATTTGATTACAGAATGGCCAATTGACACACAATTGTACACATGAATTTGACTTTTCAGGTCCACGAACTTCAGTTTTCAAATGCACAAACAAGTTTCCTGAAGATGGAGTGGGTGAGGAAGGAGACGTACCAAAACTTTGTGGCCACGTTTGCCTTCCAAACCACCAGCCCCAATGGCCTGATGCTGTACGGAAAAGGAAATGGGCAGAAGAAAGTAAGTGATGATGGCACCAAACATTGCTGACTGACTGAAGAATGTCTTCAGTTGGTGACATTTTAGACATTTTTGGAAAAGCATTATCTCTTTTGAATCATTTGGTGTTTGTTAGAGCAGTACCTGAACAAAACAAAGCTTAGAAATACTGATAACATGTTTTATTTGTGAATTTCGATCAGTATATTCTGATATTGCTCTGTTGTCATTGTAATTTCTTTGCTGGATATAATAGCTTCTAATAGTACAATAAGTAATTGGATGTTAATATATTCAGTGGTTGTTGTTACAATGCCTATAATGTGCATAGATATGATATAATGCATCAGAGCAAATAATTTCTATTATCTGATCCTCTGATCCTAAGCTCTGATCCTAAGCTCAGGGACTATGTGATTCTTACAAATTTTGCTAATTACACTTACCAAAATTTTTTTTCTCTTATTTTTCTTATTTTCTTATGTTAAGAAATATTTTCTTGCCAGGGGATTTTCAAGAAAATTCAAGAAGCTAACATGATGCATTCCTTATTTTGTTGTCAGTCCTGGGCTGTCTCAATGCACAGAGGAAACATCATCTTTGCCATTTTTGGAGATCCAAACCGTGGTGCACATCGTGTTGTGAGCCAGAAGCAGTACAATGATGGGCAGGAGCACTATGTGCGAGTCGCTAAAGTTGGCAGGGCGTGAGTAACATCTGATTATTATAAAGTCAATTCATCCCTGGGTTGTACGGGATTAATTAGACTTGTTATCATAATGCTATAATTATAATAGCTTAATCCATGGAGTTGCACATTCCAAAAATGCTCACCAATTTCACAGGTAAGCACCGAAATACTATTGATATATCATGCAATATATCATTGCCAAAACCTAAAAATATTGCATAAAGTTATTTCAAGGAGTTGATTACCATGTACTTTATCTGACTTTCCTATTACTTAAACTAGGAAATAGCATGTGCACTAATACTAGTCTCCCACTCCCCAGCCTGACCATGTCTGTGGATGACATCCCGGAGAGAGGCAGCACCATGGAGGATGAGGTCCTGGAGACCCCAGAGCTGCTGCTAGGGGGCCTCGCTCCTGACATGGAACAACTCACCCCAGGAAACGCCTGGCTGGTTGAAAACAATGACCACTTCATGGGCTGCATCAAACAACTTGTGGCCTCCTAGTAAGTATTGTACATGTCAAACATGGGCCGACTCAAGTTTACCCACGGCCCCTTTTATTGTAAGACGAATAACAATTCAAAGTTAGATAGAGTTAAATTCTTTTTAGATTTTAATGCCTGCCAGAAACTTTCAGAACCTTTTTTTTCTCATATGGTAAATGCAAAATCTGAAGTGCCTCTGAGTCATTGAATGCCACTCTCTGATAAGAGTACACTTTATCCTTTTAAAAGCTTGTTTTTAATCTTGGATACCTCTACTTCTTCTGCAGTGACGACTTCAAAGGAGTGGTGGTGGATTTTGTGAACAACCAGGACCGCAAGGATGTTACCTATAATACCTGTAGTATTTGATCCAACTTGACTGAAAACAACAATTAAATTTGCATGGATCATCATAGTGACAAAACTCCTTACAAACATAGACATAATTCTCTACATATTCTGTGCATCACTGTGAGCTAGAATTCAAAATATTTCTATCAAATCTATGATGTTTGTCAGATCTAAAGCTGGTTGTCTTGTTTGTTTCATTAGACGAAAAATGAAATTGATGTTACAGTTATAGTACCACAGTTAACTGTTGGAGGGAGTTTCATGTCATTATATAAATGTTTCTGACAGCTTATTACCTTGAAGTTCCTTAATTGGTATGGCTCATACTTATGTACGTGACCTACAGCTAGGAGAGTGAATGATATCGTGAGAAAAGTAATGTAATTTGAACTAAAATCATAACCCTCTACAGTAGAAATTCTCTATTTTGTTAATCACCACAAGGGTGAATCAGTCAGTGTTCAATTTTGCTCATCACATTTTACATGGAACAACTGTGGGTTGTGGACAGTAAAGTTCATGTAAGATATTGTTTTAGAAGATTGGTTTGATTTGAAGGTGATTGTTTCTATTTTGTTTAATACTTTTTCTGGTGCAGAATGTATTGGTTAAGTTACATATTAAACACAACAGATTTTTTTCATAATTAAGAAATACAAGCATGTACACATCAACTGATAACTAAAAGCAAAGGATTTGCATTTGAGAGAACTGCAAAAAAGCACTTTCAAAATCATATGCTGAACACAAGCATTCAAGCCAATAACAATCGCATTAGCTGCTTTTATTCTTAATTAAATCCTACTGTTATGAGGGAAGTTGGTAAGGCTGCTGTGTTGTATTTTTGGTGCAATACTTTCTACTAGTATTAGTTGCTAGCTATAGGTTGTTAATCTTTTATTTGTAGGTGGAGTTCTTGACCCTCCCAAAGTTTTATGATTGTATACTGGTTGGGCTTTTGAGTTATCAAATGCTTGTTTTATTTCATTCTGTCACTTCTCATGGTTTCTTGTAAGCAACATTGTATACTTAGTAGTTTTACGAGAAACCCTTTCTTGACACCGTGTTACACCTTGCTAGTATTTGTTTTATTCTGAAGATGCGTACGACTGCTAATTTGGGGATATTGCTTGAGAATAACTGTCATTAAGGGGGTATTTAGTGGTGACTATGGCCTCACTCTGCACTTTTGCTGTCTCAGCATTCAATAAAGGCTGAGGAGTTAGAAGTTTTGATGACATTGTTTTACTTCGTTTTGAATGGCATGGCACAACAGTTATACACCATTGTATTCTGGACTCATTATCATAGCAAAATGCAAAGAAAATTTATTTATCTCGTTTTTTTGTTTATTATTATTTTTTTCGAAATGCCTTAAACATTGTATATAACATTGGTTTTAAATGGTCGCATTTCTGAAAGACCGATATTGTTCTATCGGGCGGACTTCGGCGGCTGGAAGCAGTACTGATAGGGGGCACTTTAGTTCCTACTTGTAAAATGCAAAGATGCACTTAAAGTCAGTTCACAGTTCCCCAAACACGATATTTACGTCTTGACAATGTATGCCACACTGTCTTCTTGTAGTATTTAAAAGAAAGACAGGATGCCCCTTGTTGAGGTGTTTCTCCCACCGGATTTCCCATACGTAAGCATGGGGAGTGGAGAACCGCATCACAACCCACAGGTACTAGGTGTGGATCCGCCCCCTCCTCTGCGTCACACAAAAACATTGCCGAACACTACCATACATGGAACCAGTAAAAACGCCTTTATCAGTGACACACGTGACGAGACGTAATGCACAGTGGTTGGTGCCAGGGACGATAATAATACAACACACATAAGCAAGTACAATGAATACCAAATAGGTACTAAAACTTAACGATGTAAGAATTAGGCCACACCGACTTAATTTTATGGATGACATCCACGCGCACATTGATTTTCGTCTGTTCTCAAAAAAAGAAGATCACGTCATCCGAGGCTCTGGCCTGGATAGTCCATGGTAGCTTGCTATATAGCGACAGTACGGAGCCGGAGGTAACACTGACTGGAGGATGGCACCCAGGCTACCAAAGCTCCACGACTCAAGACCTCAGTATAGTGTCGATTCATAAATCCGCAAAAAGCCAGCATGTGCCGACTTGTCGTATATGTCGCTATGTTCTGCCGCAGTTCTGCTGCAAATTCACAATACCAGCTTTGCCTTTGTATTCCGGTGGTTTAGTAGCATTTTTATTTTTGGCCGGATTTTTTATTTTATTTGCCCGCGCGCACTAGTTTGATGGTCTTCAGAGGATGCCATCCATAAAATTAAGACGGTGTGGCCTTACATTGGAAGACAGCCCCGTGACCTTTCCAGGCTGTTAAACACGTAAGTGGGAGCGTTACAGAAGTAAAAAGACCCAGGTAATCATTGGAGAACCTATAGCTATTACTGACTCATTACTAGTCAGAAGTATCATTCACGTTCATGGGGACTCGTACAAAATCCTCAATCCCATGAGGCAGTTTAATTTCGTCAGGCTGGTACTGTTCCGTGGAAACACCTTATCGCTTGATCACAAAACTAGTTTGACGTGAGCGAGGTTATATGAAACTTAATAAGACCGCCTAGTAAAAGAGCATTAAACTTTGCATTACCGACCTGCTTTTGTGGACTATACTCGGCTTTGGTGAACTTTTAAGACTTACAGTTAAAACTTAATGATATACAATTACATGCATATGGAGGAAATGTACTTTCATTACATATATTAAAGGACAAGAATATGAGATGATCCCCGAGCCTAAGGGTGCAAAATGCTCCCTTATTACGCCAAGGCTTTTGACTGTTAAACCGGCTGAGGCTGTTTTAACACGTGTCACCTCTTGACACCAATCAGCAGACGTAAAAGCGTCTACAAAAGCGCGCCTTTTTCTTTGGACCGACCAGCGCACACAGTTGTCTCATAGATGCGGGAAAACGTTTAAAATGTCATGTTACATTTATCCATATACACAACAGTTTCACGTGCTTGCATTGATCATCGACGATATCGATATAATTAATCAATTGTCGTATCGAATGACATTCAAGCAGTCGTATTTGTCCTTTTAGGTTCCGTCTCTTTCGTACTGTTTCTCAGTCACCTATGTATGATTTGACGGTCGACAGGAACTAGGATTCTCCGTAACTTCCGCTAACACACAGTACTTAGAATTCCGACACTTTCTGCATCGCCACATATACTAGTAAACAGATCATCCCGAGCTCCTTTTTGTCTCCAGTTGCAGGTTAACCTGCCGCAGGGTAATTCGCACTTGACTCACCATAATGCGGGAACAATAGCCGGACCAACAGCTCGCTAGCCCCCTCCCATTTTCAGCCCACTGTCTCGGCATACCTGGCTTGTTACATCAAATTCCGGGGCGTAGGAACGACAGGAAGCTTACAAATACAGCTGGGAGAGCCCACCGTTCCACTCTTCATTACGAACTTGACTTGCAACACAGCGACTGTAACTTTGAGCAACTCTTCGAACTACTGTGAATACTTAGGAGGGCTAAGGGCGGAGAAAATGACTTGGAAAGTCCCATTAGGAGTTTTACTCCTATGCACCTTTGGGGAGGCTCTCAACAAAGGTAAAGCTTATCTGTTATATTACTTTTAAATCTCTGGACGCGTATCTTGGATTTCATTGGAATTTCTTTGAGCCAAGGGGGCGGTGGCATTCGTAGTTTCTCTAGAAATGCGGGAAGTTTTAAACGTCTTAATTGTGTGATCTAAGATATACTATAGTATTTGCAGGACGAGCTACTTTCTGGTCACGATAGGGAGGGGGTGTGGAACCTTGAGATCCGAGGCACTGAACAGTGTCATTAATTTCGGTGTTGCATTGACTGTTGAGAGCCAAAAACCGAACAACAAATTTCTTCACGTTTATCACCTTTTTATTAGTTGATAAAGATAACTGCGTTTCCTAGGTATGGAATAGAGCTGTTTATAAAGCTAACAGAGCTTGGGCGCACAGCCTGAACAACTTGTGTCTGTTCCATGAGTATAGACTATAGCATATATTGGTGCTCTGGAGAATGCTTGGCACCTTCCACAGAAAGTGTTGCTCTCGTGTTTCTCTACTTGGCCATCACAGGGATCTCCAAAACACTCTGCTAGATAATTCAACAATAGGAGCGACTCATAATATATGCTTTTCTGAAAGGATCCATACGGGGAATTTGGTATTGAATTTTAATAGAATGACGATGAAAATGAACAGATTATTTTTCACATAGCATGAACATTAATTGGAATGGCAGGACAAATACTAAGAGTACAGTAGTTGCCCATTCTGTACAATACATATCCGCCCCTAATTTTCATTGACACGGCCAGCAAAAGGTCATACGCCATATAAAGCCAATTTGTATATATTATAGCGACGGTTTTACCTGTGAAAAGAGTTAGAATTTTTCGGAAAAACATTAATTCTCATTGATGTTGTTGCGAGGAATTTTTTTTAAAACTGTAGAAAAAAAAGAAGAAAACCGATCGAGTTACAACAGATTGGCACTCTTACTCGGAATCCCGACAAGTCCGTGGTTTGCTCCTAATCTGGTAGATAAAATGACAGGTCGGCACCGCACCCGTCCGACGTCTTTCAAGGCTCGTCTTGGCCGCTTGCCAAGGACCCGGCTGGGAGATGCACCAACAACAACTTATGGTGGAAATATTCCTAAGGGGATGCGCATTGTTCTATGTAGAAGTGCATTATGATATATCATGACGGTTTGGGGCCAGTACAGAGGATAGACTTCAGAAGAAGAAAAATCCCATGCTAATGGCGAAAGAAAGTATCAATGACAAATGTAGCTTGAAGCTACTGTGATTAATCATAGACAACACAAAAGAATCTTTCATCCAAGGACGTCGACAGTACTGGTGACTGTCAGACAATAGGTAGTATTTCTAGTCTCTATCAATGCAGCATTGTTTCTATACTTCTACCGGTGGCAACGTAACCATGAAAACTCATCAAGCATTCAAAGCTGTGACTATGTTTTAGTCTAGTTCTTCTTTCATCAAGAATGGTGCGAAGGTGTGCGATGATGTCATCAAGTTATAGTTTCTCTAACCACAACACTGGGAGCGGCGGCGGTTCGGTAGCTTTAATTAACGTATACGCACTATGATTCACTTGATACAGTCATTAGGTAAACCCACATACAAATCTCTTTTCCATATTAGGAGGTGTTGGGTTATGATAATTATCAACAGGATGGGTAGGGTCGATTAATTTTCATCTTTGAACCTTTTTATTATCAAGTGGAGCTGGAAACTGATATCAAATAATTAAAAGGAATGACCAATTAGATTTTTTGTTGAGGTCGTTGCTGTTAACTTTGTTATTGTATCTTTGAAGATATTTACTGACACCTTGTAAGTGTCACGATTCAATTAAGGTTGCACACCACATTTTAAATGTCTTGGAGAGATCGAGTTTATTACATGTAAGTGCTACTGATGTTGCATGATAGCTATGGTCTCAAATAGTTCGAGCCCTTTCTGGTGATTTCCCCACCACTGTGTCAACTTCGTTGTTGATATCACCCGTCTATCACCAATTCATGAGTTCTGTTTTACGTCGTTTCTGAGCATAATCCCCACACCATCTTACTGCTTTCTCAAATTTTCCATCCATCCATCCATCCATCCATCCATCCATCCATCCATCCATCCATCCATCCATCCATCCATCCATCCATCCATCCATCCATCCATCCATCCATGCATTTATTCCTTCGCTGCTTTGTCCTAGGATCTGTTTTCCTGGCCGAAAGCCCGCTGAGAAGCCCCGGAGTGACCGTGCACACAGCCAGGGGGTACTGCACCCGGACGTACGGCGCATGGGCAGAGACGGCGTGCTGGCAGAACGTCAGGGACACCTGGACTATTGGACTGGATCTGTGCAAGTACGGAACACTTGGTTTTGCTAAATTGTTGGCTACGAATTGCATTTGTTCTCTCTAAATCTCTTGAATGGGGTTTCTAGAATAGTTTAGATTAGTTCCAGTGAACCTAGTTTCTCCTACCCCGTAGATACGCTTGGCTGAATGATGGAACCGTGGCCCAGCCTATCCGCTCGGGCCGAGATGGCTGCGCGGCAGTGGGGGTCAGCCAGGTCAGCCCCCGGGAACAAGGAGGAACCTTCGGCGTCTGGTGCTACGTCGGTCGCCATGTCGGTGAGTCCAACTTCCCTGGACACAATAAATAACGACTTACCTTTTAATCAATAGATAGCGAGTGTTACATTGACACTCTGCACCTAAGACCACAGGAAGTAAATTTATGGATGACATCAGCGCGAATTAATTTTCGCCTGATTTTGGAACTTGGAAAAAAAACACAAGAAATTTTTTCGGCCCGTCTTGTTTTTTTTTCGCCCGCTCGCATTAGATTTGGAGTCTGAGGAGGATGTCATCCATAAAATTTACATACTGTGGCCTAATGTTGATAGCTGACAAATAGTGACATGCTCTGGGGTATCAGGGCGGAAAGTGATGATCATCATAGTTCGGGTCAAAGGTTATTTTTCAAGATGGCTGCCAGAAAATCACCGATTGGTTTCTAATGTTGGAAACTACTTCATTAACTACCACTTAAAGGCTTTTAACATTATTATAAATGTTGTTTACTGTCAGGTAGGTAATGCAGTCTTGGTTGATCGTAAGTACAAGTACGTTTGCGGTTTAGACGTCGCACTGTACTTGTAAGGGCCTTGTAAGTTATCGCGTGATATTTACTGCAGCAGTGATTTAAAAAAGTTTTTAAACTTCAGGGGATGCAAATTCATGCAATCTTTTATTATTTAAGTGTTAAAGTTGGTAAGATGGATACATGCTGTTGACAATTGTTTGCAGTTTATATCATTTCAGCCAAAGATATTACTAAATGATAATGATTTTTGGGGCGACCTATAATTGGCCACATACAGGGGGCGTGGCAGCTAACATCATATTTTACTGGCCTGTTTGTTTAACTTTGAGGGCTATTCCATGTCTTGTTTTCGACCTCTGTTCCATTACGAAATCCCATTCTTTTGTTCATGATTTAATATCTATATCGTAATGTAAACTGTTTTAATCCCAGAGTGCGGAAGACTCGGTCAGTTCTCGTGTGGAAACGGCCTGTGTGTTCCTCACTGGGCGAGGTGTGACGGCGTCAACAACTGTGGAGACAACAGCGACGAACAGCAATGTGGTATGTCAGAATCTTGTCTATCTCCTCTTAAAGTGCAGCAATGGCAATAAATTAAAAGTACTTTGTATGGTGTGTTGATTAATTATATCATTAATTCTTATGATTCCAGTTGTACTCTGTTAAGGCTTCTTTTCTTACTGTGACACTTTCTAACATTGTAATTGATAATTCATGTCCAGATAATCGAAGTAGATGAATCTTTTTATTCCAATGACTCATAATTAGAATAAGGTAATGATTGTCAAACCTCCCTTAGTATACAGAAAAGATGTCATGACGTTGTTTCTTTGAAGCTCATTTATATCAATAGTGATCAGTCCCAGTGACTGTCCCTGCCTAACCTGTAGGTGGAGTGTTCCTGTACCCAGCCCTGAGGGCAGGACCTTCTGTCAACTTCTGGAATGCATCTCGGACCTGTCAGGCTGTGGGGGCTCGTGTGGCCAGGTGGCAGGATTTAGCAGAACAGTGGGCCAAGGGACTGGACATCTGCAGGTAAGAGACTAGTCAATAAAGTGTACAAAATTTCCTTACTACAGCTGTCAGTCTAACAATGGGTTATTATCACAGTAGAGGTCATTAACTAAAATGTCAAAAAGTGATGGATGACGTCATCACTGCTGAAGTTGAAATGGTAGTGTTACAAATTTACCACACATCCATGAACATTATTAAACGCAGTAGTAACTTCTTTGCCATATGGCAGGCATGGATGGCTCCAAGATGCGACGACAGCCCATGCAGTCCACAAGACACGAGCTGGCTGTGGGAAGATCGGCCTCCATCATGATGGGAGCTACGAGTGGAACGACAAGTTGGATGTCTGGTGTAAGGCCCTGAGCTCCAGCTTCAGTAAGTACATATATAGACCTCTCTTGCAATATCTAATATAATCTATTTTATTTTATGACGATTTACCACATTTGTGGAAGGATTAACATAACAGGTGACTATCACCTCTTCAAACATGTCAACCCCGAGACCAGACTGTAAGGTTTGAACCATTCACACCGGGAAGGTCCCCTACTCTTTTCGATAAGTGTGGTGGGTTCTTTAACGTGCGTGGGGTGTGGCTGTCCAAAACACGGGACCTCCATTTAACGTCCTATCCGAGGGACGTCCCTAGCCAAAGCAAGGTACTCATTTACACCTGAGTGAAGTGAGGAAAGTCATGTTAAGTACCTTTCCCAAGGGTACAACGTCGCGGCGCATGTTGGAACTTGTTCGGGTACGACCCGGAATCGAACCCGGGTCTCCCCGTTTCATAGTCCAGTGATGTACCACTACACCACACGACGCCACGGTATATAAGGTATTCTTCAGATAGTAACCCCCCTTTTGGGTAACTCACCAAAGTTTCAGTATATATGCAAATTACTGGCAATAAATAAAAAAACAAGCTAGAGTGCCTTTTTTCGTTCCCATCCTTGAGTCTATTTTTCAATTCCAACTTCTAAGTGTTTTAGTAGTGCTGTTGTCCCTAGCCTGCCCTATGGATATATGCACATATCAGATTCTGCATCAACCTTAAGTGTGTTTTGTCTCCACCCCCAGCCTGTGAGTCTGTATCCCAGTACACCTGTAACAACCTGAACTGTGTTCCTAAGTGGGCCATGTGTGATGGGGTGGACAACTGTGGAGACTTCAGCGATGAGCTGCCAGACCGCTGTAGAGGTGACAGGACAGGAGTGCTTGGCGATGAGGTTTTTGGATGTAAGTTTAATTGTCTCTTGTAGGTTATTTGGTACTTGGTGGAAAGGTTCCAAGTAAGCTTGATGGAGTTAATGAGAGACAGTGCATCAGTTTTTACTAGGCATGAGGTATGGTAGAAGCTGGATATTATGACTACATGCAAGCCTGGCACATCTAACTGTAAACATTGTAGAAAGATATGACCCAAAGTGTTTAAGTGAGCTCTTTGGATAAGGCTTTGTGTGAACTCATTTACGTGTACATTTTGTAAATTGTAGTTGTGAAGAATGAAAATGAAGGCATGTATCAAGTTTCCAATCAATTTACAGGTATGACATGATTATGCTGTTTCTTTCTGCTAAAAGATTTAACACAAATCTTCCTGGCAATATTGCTGCCCAGTGATGGTTCCTCTTACTGCCCCCCTCCCACAGCAAACCCCTGTGACCGTGCCAGGTGTGCCCCCCCTGGACAGGGCTACTGTGAGTCTGTCGGCCTGACTCAGTACCGCTGTCACTGTCTGCCTGGATTCAGGGATGTCAACGGAGATGGCACAGTTTGCCAAGGTTTTGGTCTTCATGTTTTCCACGTATATTTTAGATACAACATAAAAAGGTTATGCCTTTGTTGCACGTACATGTACAAAATGCATGCTACAACTGCCTAAGGCATAGATTTTGAAAAGGACATTACAGCATGATGCAGATTGTACAACATTGATGTATTATTTGTGTAGAGCTACATTGTAAGTCTAGATCTATAACTACAATGTATAGCTAAATCCTTCCTCCACCTCCAGCCATCGCCCCTCCAGACTCCAGACGTCAGGGATTTGTGGGTGTCAGTAAGGTGGTTCTGGTGTCAGACGAGCAGGGTGGAGACACCATCACCTTCCTGCAGGCAGCGGACAGATGTCTGCAGATGGGCATGCAGATTGCAGCATGGGAAGAGCTCCGGGACTCGTGGATTGCTGGGCTCGACCTCTGCAGGTAAAATACTTAGCAAATGTTTCCTTCTTTGTAGTAGTTTTTTCTGTCATTTACTTGATTTATCAGGCATTACATCACATTGCATCCATGCAATGAAGTTAGTTTCCTTTCCATAAAATCTGTTAATTCAGCTGAAAACTTTACTGTATCAGGAACTTGCAAGTTGTTTTGCCACTGCGTTGATATGATGAAGTGAAGAATTGAAGCTGAGATGAACACTGGTATTGTCCATCCATGATGCTTCAGTTACACACTCTCTGACTAGTCAGTGGCTCTTGGGAATGTGAATTATAGCTACTTTAATGTCCTGACTAATGTCTTTGTGACATGCAAAATCATCATTAACAATCACATTAATCAATTGGCTGATTTTTTTAAAGATTTGTCAAATTAGGTATCAATTGAATTAATTGTCACCCAACCCATCAATGCAACCTGTTGTACTTAAGATAAAACAAGACGTTATAATCACAATCACCACCTATTGTTCTGTTTCAAAGTTTTACTTTCTTTTGCCAGGAATGGCTGGCTGTTGGATGGAACCATCGCCCACCCCATCCACACTGCCCGAGAGAACTGTGAGGAAGTAGGTGTGAACCATGAGGGGAGCCACGAGTACACCGAGGGATGGGATGTCTGGTGTAGGACCTACGGTACTCATGGTAAGGGATGGGGACAGTTTTGTTCATTAACCTTTGAAATTCAGAGTTGTGTTTTTTTTTGTTTGATAATTGGGTGATTCAAAATGTTTCTGGCAATTTTTAGCTTAAAGTTTACTGATTTTTTATCAATTCAGAATTTCTCTGAAATCCACTGTCAGTAAGCAAGACAATTATCATAATCCATAGAAGTTATGACATTTGGTCATACATGTACTACCAAATGAGTAGCGAACTTAAGTAACAACACCAGTGCTGATCCATGTATAATGAACATTACATTATGTAATCATCATACTTTCTTGTCCTCAGATTGCAGTTCTCTTGACCAGTTCAGCTGCTCTAATGGCCTGTGTGTCCCACACTGGGCCAACTGTGATGGAGTCAACAACTGTGGGGACAACAGTGATGAGCAGCACTGTGGTAAGGATTGTTGTAGTTTTGAAGGTTTGGGAGACACATACATGTATCGCTTTCAAAGCCTCTAATTAGTCTACTAGATTTAGTGCCTCATTCACGTCTTGCTATGGTTCATGTAGTATAAGATCATGCATTGTGCATGTTATGTAAGTTAGTGCTTTGAAATAATAAAAATGTATTTCATATAGCCATGCTTCTTTACTTGAAGATTTTAAAAAAAAAGAGTGCACAACTGGCAAATTACCTGTGGCTATACATGTACATGTACTTAAGGCTCTTCAACATGCTGGAAGCTATATCTTTGCTGCTTGTTTTCTATTATGTGCTTTTCTTTCTCCTGCTGAGTAGAAGGCTCGCACAGTGTAGATGCTCAGGGCCAAGGGTCATTGGAACATACAGGCAATGACTCAGCTGGTAGGTACATGTACAAGTGCATGCATGTTTAGGTGTTTTGTTATGTACTATGTTATACTGGGCAGCATGCAGAATGCTTTGGTCACAAGCAGTGGGGATTTTTCATTCAGTACTACCTATGATAGTATGACCACTTCAAAGTAAATGACTTCAAAGTCATGAACATTAACCTTATACATCATGCATGTATGATGTGCTATTGCTGAAAA